GGGGTATGGAAAGACAAAATTGGAAAGAAATTGGCACCAGTGAATTATCTGGCCAGTTTATAGTGTTTTGTCAAACTGCCTTTAAGCATCTCATGGGAATATGGACAAAGATGCTTGTAAGCCTGCAGTGGTCAGAGCAGGAATGGTTTGTCCCAGGTGCCACGTGTGCTGCCTCCTGGGGAAAGAAGAGAAAACCAAATGAAACCAATGCTTTGAAGAAGATTTTTTTTTCCTTTTCATTCCTTTGGATTAATGTGAAAGTAATTAGCAGGTGGTGTGGTTTTTAACACATATGTAAGGACAGATGAGGTAGGATGGAGGTCTTTGCACCTTTGGGATTATGATAAGCAGTACTTGGAAGGCACTCTTAACAATGATTTATTCTTGTACAACACTTAATCTTTTTCCCCTCATCTGTGACATAGAAATGGACATTGGAAAGCAAGTGAGTTTAATTCCTTTTGTTGTTGTTCCAGTCTCATGGATCGTAAACTGTAGATGTGTGAATTAGTTTAATTAGCTTTGGTGTAGCCTCTTTTTTTTTTTAATGTACTAAGGAGATTCTGACCACACCTAGAAAAACAACTTGGTAGAAAAGGCTGTCCACAGTGGACTTCGGTCTAGACATGAGGTCTGTCTTATGAAAGCTTAGCCGACTAGTTAGAATTATAAATTTTATGTCACTATAAAGTTAATATTCTGAGAGTAGCCAAATTACTCATGCCACTGCCTTAGAAAGTAGAACATGAATTTTTAACTTTGTTAATACGAGTTCTGGGATTATGTGTTGTCAAAACTTAAAGTTTCAACGCAGTGCTATAAGCATGTGGTGCTCCTTTGGCATTTTGGACGCTGCACAAGGTGGAAAAGGTTTGTGACAAGAGTGTTGAAGTGCATAGAGCAAAGTCAATATGAAGGACGGTTAAGTACATCAGGGCTTCTCAGCAGTGTGCCCAGGTGGCCAAGAAGGCCAACAGCATCCTGGCCTGTATCAGGAACAGCGTGGGGAGTAGGGCCCGAGAGGTGATTGTCCCCCTGTACTGGGCACTGGTGAGGCCTCACCTCGAGTGCTGTGTCCAGTTTTGAGCCCCTCACCACAAAAAAGACATTGAGGGGCTGGAGCGGGTCCAGAGAAGGGCGACAAAGATGGTGAGGGGTCTGGAGAATAAGTCTTATGAGGAGAGGCTGAGGGAGCTGGGGGTGTTCAGCCTGGAGAAGAGGAGGCTGAGGGGAGACCTTATTGCTCTCTCCAACTCCCTGAAAGGAGGGGGTAGAGAGGTGGGGGTCGGTCTCTTCTCTCAAGTCACAGGCGACAGGACAAGAGGAAATGGCCTCAAGTTGCCCCAGGGGAGGTTCAGGCTGGATATTAGGAAACATTTTTTCACTGAAAGGGTTCTCAGCCATTGGAATGGGCTGCCCAGGGAGGTGGTTGAGGCCCCATCCCTGGAGGTGTTCAAAAGCCGGGTTGATGTAGTGCTGGGAGGTCTGGTTTAGTGATGATGCTCCTTGTTTGTTGTGTGGGTGTCTATTTTTGTCAGTGAGGTTGACGGTTGGACAAGATGATCTTTAAGGTCCCTTCCAACCTAGAAGATTCTGTGATTCTGAGTCCAAGCAGGGTACGACAGAAGACTGTGAACCTGTGAGTGGTGTAGCCAAGTGGGCAGAGTGTTCCTGTCTCTGACCTTGCAGCTCCTTACGGCACAGATAATTAAAGGCTGGGGCACTGTGCTTGGGAAATGCCACTATTTGCTTCCCTTGACCTGATGGTTGTCTGTGACAGTGACCAACACGGACAAAACTTTGGCTCTGTGGATTTTCAGTCCAAGCTACTATGGCTGCTCGTATTCCTATGTGGATAGGCTTGGTTACGTTTGTGGGAGAATGAGAATTCTGTGTAAGTTCCATAAGTCAAGAAAACAGCAACACAAGGTGTCATGCAGTGTTGGGAATAAGATGGGTTGTGGAGAAGAGAAAAGAAATAATTTCAGCAAAAAAAAAAAAACCACACCCAGAATTTACAGTGTCTCCTGCTAGTTCTGCGGACTTTCATATAAATAAATCATTTTAGATTTAAATTATAATGCAAGTTAAGCTGAAAAAGCGAACAAAAGCCCAAGTGACTATGTGTGATTGGTGGAAAAGGGCTGGTCTTCCATCTTCTGAAACAGTTCCCTACAGTGCCCTATATTTCTCTTTCCAGGTACCACGGAGATCCAGCCTTTCTGTGCTGTGTGGTTTTGGAAGTTCACTGGCTGGCAAAACTGCAGGGTTTACTCACCAGTAGAAGGCTTTTACTCCGTATTAGTGTTAAATATCGTGGCGACAAAGCTTATGGACAGTGCTGTTTTAGGCTGCAGTCCTGTGTGCTAAAGAAACAGTAATAATGCCACGGTCGGTGTATCCAGGTTTCCTCACCAGCGGATCCTATGGATGGGGCTGTCTGAAAGTACACGGGCATTTCCATCTCTGGGCTTGGGCAACCATGGATTCGTTGCTAGAACTTGCTGTGGTGGCTCTTTTTGTGATATGAAGCGTCAAACTCCTTTCATGCAGCTCATTCAATAGGGAGCTCTGTCAAGTATATTTGGTTACAGAATCTTAGTGGTTGGAAGGGACCTCTGAGATCATCGAGTCCAACCACAAAAAAACAAACAAACAAAAAAAACCAAATACAAAACGCACCACACCAAACACCCACCAAAAACACCGCACCCACCAACTAAACCCCACACTCAACACCTCACCATAAACCAATAACCTTGGGCACTAGAGCATGCCCTGAAGAGCCATGTCTATACGTTTCTTAAAT